CTTTCCCTAGGCTTCCAGTTAAAAAAAGGTTGATATTTCCCGGAAAGCAAGTTGCCAAAAAGAAAAATAAGAGGAAGGTTCTTTCAAAGCTAGAGAAAAGCTCTAAAACTGAGATATTTCCTGGGTCAAATAAGCCTGCACTTGCTGAAAGTCAAGATGCTACAGATGAATTAGAGGGTGAGAGGACAGTGAGGAAGTCGACTAGAACATCAGTCATTGTGAGGCAAGCAGAAAGAGATGCAATTCGTGCTGCATTGCAAGCTACATTGAAGGTTTGTTTTCCATGGCTTGCTTGAAATCTTCATAAAATACTTATTTGAAAAAGGGTATAGTTGTTTTATAGGAGCTGCATGTCTGAGAAATTCTTATGGTTGTTGCTTACTTTCTTAGATGTTCTTACTGCTGTTTTTATTAAATTAAATTAAAATGTAACATATGCTACTGTTATGACTAACTTATTTTTTCTTTCCCTTATATGTTCCTTTTCTGTAATGAAATTTCTGTATGCTTCATGAAACATGATTGATGACTTACCAAAGCTTGGGTACTTTTTGTGATATAACCATTACAGTAAGCAAGTATTTAAGAGCATTATCGTTGTTTGATGTTGCACATAATTTATAACTAAATGTTATAAATTTTTGTTAAATGGGTTTGGTAAAGATTATAATGTTTACTATCGCAGTAAGCTAAATAACATTTTTGTTGGGATCAATAAAGTTCAAAATTTTAACACAATGCACATATCTTAAAGTAATTCAAAATGATAGAACTGATGCTTAATTCAATGAAAAATTAAAAAGAAAAACGAAGTCTACTTGTGTTGAACATATCAAGATGAATCCATCGACACTATGATTGCATGATTAAGAGCCTAGATGGAGTCCTATGGCTTGAAAGATGCATGGATAGATGGAGAGAGTTAGAGAGAGTGAGGGAGAGTAGGTAGTGAGAAATTGAGAGAGAGAGAGAGTGGGGTGAGAGCTAGAAAGATGCATGGATAGATGGAGAGAGTTAGAGAGAGTGAGGGAGAGTAGGTAGTGAGAAATTGAGAGAGAAATAGGGGTATTTTTGATGTAATATGAATGATTTGGGCAGTAAAAATGGAAAAGAAAGTGTTTATGTGTTAGATATATAAATATATATGAATTGGATGCCCTGATTTTTACTTGTTCAAAAAACATGGGAAACAAGTATTGTGCCCTACTCCGTAGCTTTCTAAAAGGGGTGTTTTTCTAAAGTTTTAAGTATATTTAATTACAGTTAACAACTTCCAAGTGAAGCATACAGTGAGTATCCATGTGTTGATGGTGGAATTTGAAGACATCCAAAGACTTGGATGTTGGATATTGGGGTAGCGGGCCTTTAACAAGTTTTAATGTAGATTTAACATACTCTTGCCAAATAAAAAATTGGCAACTTTCGAACCTGTTAAATTTCGTTTATCCCTTGTTTTTGCCTTCAAATTGCAATTTTCATGAACTCTTCTTTATCTTTAGACATTCTAACATTGTTAATACTTTCTTCTTGCGAGTTTTTGGACCGATTTCCTTGCTTCGTATGCCACTAGATTCGCCAATGCCTTTCACTTGTGGGTTTTGTATGGCTTCCTCAAATATTTGTTGGTAGTCAGACTTGTTGATTCCTTGTCTAGTGAGCTATGCACTTTCTCAGTTTTTGGCATGCTGTCATACTCATTGATGCATTCTCCAATGAGTTTCTGTGCAGCTCTTATACATTTTTGTCACCAAGGATCATAGTTATTTTTGTTGGAGTGGAAAGGGAAGCGAGACGATGGTGAGGGAGGCATGACGGGGTTAGGTCAGGAAGGAGTAATGACCATCATGTCTCTTCTTTATGCAACATGTGTACGTTAAGAACAAATGAGGTATGGAAGCTGATATGGAGAGGTGAGGCATAGGTACATGCAGGCGTTCATCTCTATTTTTTTTTATTATAATAGGTCAACAAATATACCCCACAAATATGAGAACTGCATAAAATTGATCATGTTTATTACAAACTAGTTGACCCAATCTTCGTGAGTTCTTTTGAATTTTATGCAGAGAATCTGTTTTTTTAGACCTTATAGAATACTCTCGTATATTGACACAAGCTTTAATTTGACTTTTGCATGTAGATACATGTCTTATAGACTATTATTTGGTCTCATTTTTAAGCACTTTGATATTTTGCATTTTCTTAACATTTCTTTTCATTTTCAAACCTTTACAGAAAGGGTTTATCTTGAGAAGATTTGAGGGATTTTTGCGCTGCAAACCTGCTAAGAAATTAATTTAGGGCATCATAAGTTGGCACGACTCTTAGGAGATTCTTAAAATTGATGATTGACTGATGACACTAAAGGAGATGATGAGAGGCCATAATGGTAACATTTTCATGATCTCTCCCTTCCATTTACAAAGATCTTGTAGAGCGGGTAATTGTCATTTAGTTTTCAGGTGGGAGTACAGCCAACTAAATAAATGAAATGTGTGGTATTTTGTAGTTAACTATAGTTGTTACCGAGAAAGTCGAGCATTTGCGATTATTGAATCATTGCCATTTACAGGAGTTTACTAGAATGGCCTCTCAGCTGTCTATAGAGGTAGATTTTTAGTTTTACATGTGGATATATCTTCTGGCATTGATATATCATATAGGTGCATATGGATACTTTGAAGTTCACAAGCTTATTTTTTAAAGTTTAGCTTTGGGAAATATCCCTTCTTCATGAGTTGTAGGAGTGATTGAGTTCCAGAATTTTACCACCAATATTTATTAGATTGGCGCATAAGAGATGAATATTACATTATGGGAGTTCAAGAGTATGTTTGGAATAATAATTTTTGATTGCCACTATGAAGAAAGTATTCCTATGAACTAGGACTTTTTCCTCTAGAAGACACTTAAGGAGATGATGAGAGTTTATCATGGTAACATTTTCATGATCTCAACCCTTCCATTTACAAAGATCTTGTAGAGCGGGTAATTGTCATTTAGTTTTCAGGTGGGAGTACAGTCAACTAAATAAATGAAATGTGTGGTATTTTGTAGTTAACTATAGTTGTTACCGAGAAAGTCGAGCATTTGCGATTATTGAATCATTGCCATTTACAGGAGTTTACTAGAATGGCCTCTCAGCTGTCTATAGAGGTAGATTTTTAGTTTTACATGTGGATATATCTTCTGGCATTGATATATCATATAGGTGCATATGGATACTTTGAAGTTCACAAGCTTATTTTTTAAAGTTTAGCTTTGGGAAATATCCCTTCTTCATGAGTTGTAGGAGTGATTGAGTTCCAGAATTTTACCACCAATATTTATTAGATTGGCGCATAAGAGATGAATATTACATTATGGGAGTTCAAGAGTATATTTGGAATAATAATTTTTGATTGCCACTATGAAGAAAGTATTCCTATGAACTAGGACTTTTCCTTCTAGTGACCTACTTACGGAGATAAGCGAGGGGAACCGACCTTATCGGAGGGTTTTCATGAAATTTTAGGCTATTATGGAAATGTTTATGGAAAGTCCAAGTTATCAATGCGCACTTGAGCTATCTTTCCCATGAATGTTTGGATAAATGTTTTCTTTAAGAGAACCATTTTATTACATGCTCCTATTGAGTTTGGGATAGACCATGAATAGAATTGTCAACTTTCATCAAGCCAGTTGTGGGGATTGGGTACATGTTTCTACCCATTATTGACGTAGATGAAGATATATTTTTTGATGGGCATTTTCTTTTGTTGTATGCAATTATTCTTCCCACAAATAAGGGATCTATATAATGCAATGCTCTAATTAACATACAAGGTTTTTAGAAAAATTACAGAAACAGTTTTACTTGACATACTGATTTAGTTCTTCATGGAATTACATATATACATAGGCTTATATCTACATATGCAGATCATTCAGTTGTTTGGAATAATAATCATATTTTTATTATATCGTCATCATGCAATTAACGAGCATCATCCATCTAAGAGTGAGAGTGTGTTTACTTGACATACTGATTTAGTTCTTCGTGGAATTACATATATACATAGGCTTATATCTACATATGCAGATCATTCAGTTGTTTGGAATAATAATCATATTTTTATTATATCTTCGTCATGCAATTAACGAGCATCATCCATCTAAGAGTGGCCTTTTCTTTTATGCTCAACACTTTGTTGCAGA